TGTGGAGCTCCCTGCCCACGCGTGAGCCTAAACACCATCGGTGTACCGGTTTAGGCTTTTAGGTGTTGGCGTTCTGATATGCTGGCCGTCCATGCTGCGTTCATTGCGCGCTGGAGCCACCCTGAGTCTCCTCGCGGCCTTTCCAGAGCGAGTGGGAGGTAAATGTCGGAGCCATGCGCCTTGTCATCGTCTGGGTATCGGTTCCATATTCTTGCATAGTCTTTCGCAAGAGTGGTGCAGCAGTATGTCATGTTCAGCCTTTTCGGGTGTATACAAACTTACCATGTTGAAAAAGGTTAACCTACAAACGATAGAGTATGTCGGGTTCATCGCAATAGACAGGGGCGTTTGGGTGCTTAGGATTCTCGATCTTGCGCAGATCACCCCGAAGCCTTTGCAACAGTTTACACTCGAAGTCGGGCTTGCCAGCGTTGTCAAGCGTTTAGCGTTTTAGTGCAGGATCCTCGGGATGCAGAAAAGAGGCCAGATTTCATGGAAGTCCTTGTCCCTACTATACTATGCTATAAGTACTGGTTTTTATCTACATTCAATCCGCTCCCGGCTCAAGACCTATGATGCAGGGCGTCAGGCTTTTCGTGCCGAGGCTCGATCTATGGATCAGGGCTTTGCGGATGGAGATGTTGGCTTCTAGGTGCAGGTGTCGGGGCAAGAGCTTCGGAAGTTTTGGTGGTTGGAGATGGCTCAAGGCCCTAAGCCCAACACCCTGAACGCCGAGTACCCCCAGCCGCCAACCCCGCCCCAGCTCGCCGAAAAGATGCTGAACTCTAGACGAAATGAGGGTGTGGGCCTTTAGGAACTTTAGTGCTTCGACCAAACGAGTTAGGGTTTAGGGAGCCCCGAACGCGAGGACCCTGAATTCCACACCTGCTGTCCGAAGCAGCTCAAACTCAGGCATAGGGTTCATCGAATGGGCTTAGTGTTTACGGGTTTAGGGTTAGGTATATCTGTCATTCATGACAACTAGGCAACTGTTCAGAGAACCCGCATTGCTCTTGGTTTTCGGAATTCGAACTCCTTTTTTTGTTGGGTTGTCGTCGAGGTCGGAGATGCCGAGTTCGCGTCCTTCGCCCTCTGCTGCCAAGCTCAGAAGCCCACCTCTCCGGAAAAGACAGATCTCTGAGCCTCGGCAGAACGTCAAAGGTGTGAATACCTCTTAGCAACCAAGATAGGTAGGTATTTCGGGAGATGTGCACTTAGCTGTTGTGTTTCATAGCTGTAACTTATGAGGCAACTTTACGCATTCTCATGTTCTGTTCACGGACCAATCATAAGATGAAACTGACTGTTTGTTGATTAAAGGATTTTGCGCTCTTGAAGCTTCTGGTCTGGTTTTAATTTGAGTTCAACGCCGTGGGGACACGGGTTTGCTCTTCAAATGCTCAGTGTCATGGGAGCAGTCAGAATATGAGAGTGGCCCGATTAGGGAGGTTTGTCCCACAAGTGAAGCCTTAAGCCAACAGGGCTGTGCCATACCCCTAATCCCTAAACCCTAAACCCCTAAACCCTAAACCCTAGCCGTTGGAGTTTCGATGCGTCTTCGGAGAGTGCCGCAGCTTGGCTGCTGGCTTCTGAAAGTTCGAGTGGGAGCTTCTGGTTCTCGGCATGTACTATAGGGGCCTTAATTTGGCCTTAATCATGATTGGAATAAGGTTTTGGGGCTCCTTACACTATAGTGATAATAAGGAACCCCCAAAAGAGTCTTGGTAATTATTTAGGCCCCTATATTAAGGTCAGAATCCTCGATTTGAGTGTTGCCATTGCGAGTTCCCGACCATGAAACCCAAGGTGGAGGCAGCTGGGACTGCGACGGCCTGCTTCAGTGTCAGATGGAAGCTGCTTGCCTCTGATGTCCTCACGGTGGCCATAGGCTCCATAGTAGTTCCATTTTGTGGTTCATATTTAGACTCCCACAAGGTAATCCCAAAAAGGAACTACTAAGGAGCCTATGGGTAGCAACACGAAGCCGGGTCTGAACCATGAAGCATACGATCGCGAAAGCGGTGTAAGCCACAAGCTCAAACCAAGCAGCTTCGAGTGCTGGCTTGCCAGTGGGGGCCGTGACCCCACCCTGAACCCTATAAGCCCTACCTATAGTCTCCATTGTAGTTCCTGTTGGGGGTTACCTTTTGGGATCCTGAATATAGATTTGGTTAAACCAAAAAAATGAACTACAATGGAGACTACAGGTACACTCTAAACTCTTAGCCCTACACCCTGACACCGTAAGCCAAGCCACAGCCATAGTTCCTTCGAAGAAGCCCTAAAAGCCGTCATGGTACCCTTTTAGGCACCCTCAAAGGAGCCCTTTCAGTTTCCTTCGAAGGAACCGTATCCAGACCTCAAGTCTTCAGCGCCCGACCCTGAGCCCCCAACCCCTGAAAGACCCTAAGACCCTGAACCCTCTTAGGATTTAGGGTTTAAGGTTTGGGGTTTAGGGGTCCACCGAAACCCTAAGCCCTTGAATTGACGGACCCCTTAGACGTTTTAGAGCCGTTGTAATAAGGTTGAAAAGAAGTTCGATCGACTTCTGTCGCCCCCTTGCACAGCAACCCAGGAGCTTGCTTCTGCACCTTCCCTGCTTCAGGATCGCACTCCAGGACTGCGAGCAGGGTTTAGGGGTCTAGGGTTCGGGTTTGCGCAGACCCCTGCGTAATGAACCCGTCTCTTTCAAGATGGATTATTATCGTCACATGTCGGGATCCTTTGAAACGCGGTAGAGGGTGTTTCCTTAAACCCTAAACCCTGGATAACAACGGTACCAGAGAACCCTTTATCAGGGGTCTACATTATTGCATCATTGATTCTTTGAGCTCTTGCCAGTTGGTTTAGCTTCCTGAATCTGTCAATCTTGTGCTGTGAATGGAGTTTAACTCGGGCTACAGCATTCAAAGGTTTCGGGAATTCAGTGTTTGCAGTTGCATAGATCCACCGAGGTGCTTTCAACGAAGCTTCTTCGCGTTTCTGGCAACGAATACGAAAGAAACTTCCCTTGCTACTTGCATGGCGACATTTTTTGATCCTGCCATCGCATGACATAAAACACTGAGTCAAGAGCGACATGCTGCGGAACTGCATGCGACTACAGTTTCAAGTTCAAGCTCAGCTTGCCAATGATGCTGCGTCGTGAAATTCTGATCCTGAGTTTAGGGTTTAGGGGTGGTAAGGCCTGCGAAAGATCTGTACAGCCGAGCCTTGATGGAACCCACCATCTTGTCGTAATTACCACCCTATACTTAGCACCAATGTGCCCGGCATACCACCCGTACCACTGCTCCGCCCCCTAATTACCTCCCGCCCACACCTACCAGTAGCATGTACAGCATTGATAGAAACTCTGCTACTCATCATTCCTGATCGTGCTCGATCTTGAAAGTGCTGTCCATGTTGTCGCCCAACATGCGCTCAGACATAGATGCCACGGCCTTCTACGAGCAGCAGCACACTTGAATCCTCCACTCCTTCGCCCATAGTCGACAAACACAGAATTCAATCAGGACTCTGAGCCAGACCAACCCACCACGTTAGAGCCTAAACCTGAAACCCCAGGCACCAAGCAGAAATCCAAAACCCTCAACCCCATGTGGTGGTGATATGAGAGGCGTAGCCGAGATGCGAATGTACTTTGAGCACCTCATGGGCATTTACCTGACAGGGGAAAGCTTGGCCGCAAGAAGTATGTTGCAGCCGTTAAAAGGAGGAAGAGGCTGACAGGTGCCATCAAGAAATCTCGTGTAATATCTCTGCCAGTAATCATCATGACGAGACTCCGAGTCGTAATCGTAGTCGAAATTTGGGTTGTGGCAATGACCACAGTCTAGCAGTAACGAGGAGAGCAAGACATGGGTTCTGGCTTCAGGACAGCAGATCAGAGCTTAGAGAGGCTGTCCTTTTTGCATGCTCGGGAAAGGCATCTTGTCCCATGACCAGGAGGCACGCGAGAAAGTGGTCATCAGGCATCTCCATGACCCTGGCACCTTGTGATGATAAGCCTATCGGGGCCCTGTAGCCTATGGCTTGAATCCTGCGGTGTGCCTAAAAAACAACCCCCCCCCCCCCAAATCAGGGACTAAAGGAATACTTCTAGGAACCAACCCTTAAAGGATCCCTTACATGAAGAAACCCCGAAAGCAACCTTTAAGGAAGCCTTAATCTTGAGGAGATTCCCGACCCTGTCTTCCTGGATATCGAGCACGCGACTCCGCGCGGATGTAGCATTGCTTTTGGTTTTCAGGGTTTAGGGCTTAAAGGCCGGAGCCTATAACTTAGGACCCAGATGCTCTTAAAGGGAGATAGCGCAACGAAAAACAATACCCAAAATTGCTTAAGGCTTATCCGTAGTAGTTTGTTTAGGGCTTTAGCCGTTGGGCCTCTATCCCCACACCCTCACCCCTAAGCCGTAGATGCAGGCCTGACTCCTGCAGGTAGGGCCTACAGACTGGCGCAAGCAACTAGTCGTGCTTCGGGGCTTCACAACAGTTTCTCCAGTGACAATGTTCGGACACCTTGATGCAACAACGATTTCAGCCGGTTGTGTGTTGCTGGAGAACTGTGCCGATTGGTCTTGCAGTGTTGCAGCGTGAAATCACCCAGTGAATCCTACACACACCTCATAACTCCTGCACCCTGAACCCTAACCCTGAACCTGTAAACTCTCAACCCTACAAGTCGTAGTCGTAAACCCTATCCCCGAAGCTTTCTGCCAGAAAACCTGAGTCCTTGCGCAAACACTGCATTCCACGAACCCGCAACACGACTCTGAGACCTGCTTGTACTATGTGAGTATGCCTGTTCTGCTTATGGCTTATGTGTTTGTACCCAGCAAACCAAGCATATCTCGCAAACTCGGAACCCAAATCCCAAGCTGCTTACAAGCCAACCCCGACCGTAGCCCCTGGATTGTCAGCAAAACCCTAAACCCTAAACCCTAACCGTCACAAGCAAGGCAGCCAGAGATTGCTTCCAGGTCATTCCAAGCATCTTCCTGGCCCTAGCCAAGACGATGCCACCTGGGTCACCTGACGTGCAGGTCTTGGATGTGGGAGCCTTCGCAGGCAGGGGTCGTAGAACAGGCAGGGGATATACAATCTGCTTCGGATCAAGGTATAGGGGTGCCTTTAAGGGCTCTTGAAGAGTTTGAGGGTTTAGGGGTTTAAGGTTTATTCAGGGGTTTAGGATTCGCTGGTCCCGTTCCTGCCTATCAGGAGGATCGTTGCATTCTGTCTTGTTTCGAATTCGCAGGACGTTTAGTATTTGGGGGCCGCAGTAGCAAAGGGCTGTTGGCAAGATTCTTTGCATACGTCGATGCATGTGCATACTGGGTCTTGTACTTCGAACAAACCTGGTGGTTTAGCCCAGTTTTTTGGCGTATCTGCCTCATTCATATTTTTTGAGCCGGGTCATTTACTTCAGGCTCAACTAACTCAATTGTGAAAAGGACTGCTTAAATCATCCAGCTGGTGTTTGTGATGTTGAACGAGGCTGAGTATGATAGCTGATGATTTCGTGTCCTAATGCATAATGTTGAACTTGATTCTGAAACCCTAAAGCTACAACCTAAACCCTAAACCCCTGATACTGTACCGGCTTAAGCTTGGGGTCAGGCTGAGTGCGACAGTTTGGGACGTGCAGCCTCGGGCCGGGTGAAGAATCCCTCACAGCCCAGCACTTAGTAGGTTCTTAGTAGTCGAGTATAGCTCACTTGCAACCTTTTTGGGGTATTATGCAGTCCCGATATTATCCCAAAGGTTTACCTGTAGTTCCCTAGGATACTGGACAAGTAGGGGTTATTGTGTCTTCCACCCTACAGGGCCCTTAACTTCGGAATGACGGTATAAATGGCAACAAGTATTCCTGAGGGTTTGCTAATACAATTTTACTCTGATAGAGCCCGAAATCCTGTTCAACTTCTCTACGCGTTTGTATGACATCGGATACTTGGCGCTCGATGTCCTATAAGTTTGAGTTTGGGGTCAGGATGAGTCTAATAGCTTGTCAGGTTAAGCTTAGGGTCAGATTAAGGGGTTCAGGGTTGAGAGGTTCAGGTTTGAGGTGTAGGGTAAAGTTTGACGACGCAACATTTGAGCGTCGGACTGGTCTGACAGTGGTAATTTATGATGCTGGGAAACGTGACCAGTACGTTGCTGATCAGATTTGAGCTTTGGAGGCAGCGGCGGAGGCAGCAGCCGCAAAAGCCGAAAGGGCGGCGGCGGCGAAAGGAAAAGAAGGCACGAGAGGAGGCCAGGTGACAGCAACAGACGAGGGAACATAGGGAACATCGGACTTCTGCATACGACATGAGTCAGGCTCGCAAGCTGAAAGAGAAGGCAAGAGGTCTGGCATCATGAAATCAGCGCCGAAAACGTGCCAACATCGCTCGGAAGAACAAGCTGCAAGCCCTCCGCGAGGTGATTCCATGAAGACGTTGAGAAGTTGATTTGAGTAATAGGCGATACCAGACCGAGCCTGGGAGCGGCTGGCAGAACGAGCCCGCGAGGCAGAGCGCAAGACACAGTTTAAACTCGCTTCGTGAAGAGCGGCGGGCTCAACCGTGATTCTTACAGCTGCAGGTAAATCAAAAATATTGAAGCCACGTCGGTAATCGAGGGTACGGCTTTCACGCACGCAGACGCGCGCAGTAAAGCCACAGAGGACCCGTACGAAGTTGAATCGGGCGAGGAGGCAGCCTCCGAGTCAGAGAGGAAGGCATGCTGGAAAAAATTGCGGGCTTGGCCGGGGCCAGCGACAGCTGCCTGCCGAGTGGGGCTCGGAGCTCTGGCCAGGCACGCCTGCGACGAGGCGGTGGAGTTGCAGCGGCTCACTCCATTCAGTTTTGTGACAACCTAGGACGTGCAAGCGGTGGCTAGCAGTGCCGGTTGGGCGCTCAGCTGGAATGCAAATTGGCAGCAACACAATGACCACGACAGAAGGCGGAGTCGCCAGCCGTTGCTAGCATGGTCACGAAGTGCTGGGACGATGCTGGGAAGAAGTCTGGGCTGCTTGTGTCGGGCCCCAAATTGCAGTTCTCAACCAGACAGAAAAAGTCCATGGATCCATAGGTACTCTGCGGTGTCGACCTGTGCCATTTTACGCTTTGGCGAGAGTCGCGGATCGGAATAGGGTTCCTTATTAAAGAATATACCATATACCCCCAACTCTATTAGCTTGGAGACCGATCGACACCAGAAAGTCAGTTTACTGGACAAACAATGCGAAGCCCTACACCCCAAACCCCAAAAGGATACTGAGTGGCCTGAGATTTGGAGTGCCGCACTTGTCAGCATCTTCGTTGCTTCAAAACCGTTGCCCACTGGATAACCGTAGAGCCCACAACTGGCCTTAATCTTATAACTTGTAACAGTACAACCTTATAACCCTGACCCTAAACCCTAAACCCCAAAACTCCCGACCGAGCTTCTCACGACAGGATCTGTGAGCTGTGCATGCATCGCATTATGGGACGCCGTTGTCGGCACAGCATCCGAGTGGCCGGGAGGCGGATGGAGCTAGGGTTTAGGGGATAGCAAAGACGTCCCTAAACCTTAGACCTTGAGCCCTAAACCGATTAGGGTTAAGGAGGCAGGGTTCAAGGTTCACGATTTTCCAGGTAGATTTAGCGTGAAGGTCCATAGTTCAGCCAGGGTGTTGCAAATTTCCAGGGTTGCGGAGGTTTTCGTTTGATGAAGGGGTCTCGGGTTGTAGGATTGAGGATTTGGGGTTTTAAGCTTGACTTGCAGGGTTTTGGGTTTTGCATGTTGTTTAGTTGCATTTTGACGACATCACATAGTCCAGTTCCTCACTCGGCCATGTGTGAAAATTTTCACATTTAGTATCATCACCTGAAGCCTGAATATTTAAACTACGAATACTATCATTACTATCTAATACTATTGACTTTGAAACCTGAACCCTAAAAATAAACCCTTGGCCCAACGCCCTAAACTATAAACCCTTAAGCTTTGACTTAGAAGAGCCCCATATGCGAAGATTCGAAGAGCCGCCCTGTTGGGGTAGTTGGCGCTCTGAACCGAGGCAGAAACCGTCATAATGTCAGTGTTCAAGAGTCCCGCATTCTTCTACCTACACAGCAAGGGCGTGCAGGATTACAACGCCGATTACATCGGGCTCTAGTTTACAGGCCCTAATATTAATATCACCAGCGTCGTTTGAAACGAAAGCTTCAGCCTCCCTTGTGAAATCACGGGTCAATTCACCCTAAACGCTAAATCCAAAACCCTAGACGTTGCTATATTTCAAGGAGCCTCTCTTGGCCTGGAGGTCAAGCCCCCTTTCAAGGCAAAGCCAGCGAGGCGAGTTCAGTCGGCGTCTATCCGTTGGTCTAGTCGACTTGGAAATTCCAGAAATAGGAAGCTCTGCACAACAAAACTCTGATGCTGTCGTCTTTGAAGCGAACTCCTACAGCCTGAGTCCGAACTTGAAACCGCATGAGCACGCAAAATCCCGAACTCTCAACTTCTATACTTTAGCACTACTGTAGTCCCCTGATGACAAGCTTTGCTTGCTATTGCGGAATGGTAATTGGGTTCCCCTAGATACTCAGGCAGGAAGGGCGGTTTATTCAGCTGGGCTGCGCATTACGCCAGACAATTGCAGGGCCCGGCACGCCGCCCTCCGCGAATATCCGGGTGCTAGCGCTCGAGCCCTCACCGCTACGGTGCCGCTTGCCCCTGGCCTGCGTTTACGGCCTAGCATTTAGGATTTGTTGAGGGGTTTTGGGGGGGTGTGTGTAGGAATCTAACTCCGAAATGTTAGGCAAGGATGCGGCTGACAATTCCAATACAGGCGGAGCATGGTCTTAATCATGGAGGCTGAGACAATGGAAGAGTGAGTGACTGAGTGGCCAGCTGGTAGATTTGTTTACGAAGCACTTGGTGGCACTACGATGTTTGCGATGTTGTTCCCCGTTCCTGGCTTCAGTGCAAGTGCTTGGGATTGAACACCCTTGTTTTAGTGGCTGTGCTCAAGAGGTTCCGCGTTCGGGGCTTCCGATTCTGGAGGAAAGCCGTCGGGTTTTAGCTTCAAGGATCGCTCTGACAGTGCCCTGACCTTGTCTTTCCAAGCAGTGTGGACAGAAAAGGGGCTTCTAACAAAAACGCCTTGAAACAGAAGTAGCACCAGGAGAAATGCATCTGCAAATGAGCAGTCCAGGATCAACAGCGGAGGGCGCGAGAAGGCTCCAACCGGTTGAGGTCTGATAGGGACGTTGCAGTGTGGAGTTCCACACAGATGTTGAGCGGCTTTGGGTTTTAGTCGGGTTGCATGTTCACGGTGTAGCCCAGTAGCTGAACTTTTTCCAACCTTAGACATTTGGTGACCTATTGAGCATTGGTGGTTACGCACTCTTGTATAGTCTGGTAGTCCAGCCAAGCTTTCAGGAATCGCCTCCATGAAGCTTTCTCTGTTCGTGTGCCCTGTTAAGGTTGCCGGGAACAAAGATTCCGATGTGCGAACTCCACCCATGGGACCCTATGAACTAGCCGCATCATCAAGAGCAGCTTGGAGTTCGCGTCTGTGAGGCCGCAAGAATCGCCGAAAGGCTTCTCAAAATGCTTCCATGAAATCTCCCAGTTTCAACTTACTTCTGACCTTGTGGGCATGTATATTTGGAGGCTGCCATATAGTGCCCATAATGGGGCAAACACAAGAATGAAAGGCCTAGGGCTCCCTCCATCCATTTGTCTCGAAATCCCCGTCTCCCTCTCTCTCGCTCTCTCCCTCTCTCGCACTGACACTCACACTGTTTGCCTCCTCTCTCTCTCTCTCTCTCACTATCCATCTCCCTCTTTCACATACACTCTCTCTCCCCCTCTCTCTTTTTGACTCTCTGTCTGTCTTTTGTCTGTGTCTCTCTCTCTCTCTCTCGCTCTTTGTACAAGGCGCCGCCAGATCTGGACCTCTGCAAGCATGAGCCACTCAGACCATCGCTCTTCTCGCTCTGCTTTCAGAAGGGTCATTGAGCAAATCTGGGATCACATTATAGACCTTAAAGGGGGCAGTTCTCTCAAATGGGGTCCCTGTTAGGCCCTGATCATACGGGTGCCGTACTATTTTGGGGATCTAAAAAGGGGACCCTAATCTAGATAACAACCAATATGTCGCGATCTTTGTTATGAGTTACCACAAGTTTGGGATCCCTTAATCCAAAAGCTGCCGCTTGTTGAGTTTCTCGGATGATCCTGGACAGCACATGCTTCATGACCGTGCAGAAGTTTTGGGTTGCAGAAGAGATGCCCTCGAATCGTTGGAGCATTTTGGAGCAGGGCTGCCTTGCAATGCACTGCTACTTACCTATATACAATATAGTGTCAAACGTAGTTCCTTGTTGGGGCTGTCTTACAGCATCCAAAGCATAGAGCTGTAAAGCCGGGTAAACCGAAACAATGGAGATTACAAGTAGGCCATGATCTAGACAGCAACCTAGCCACATGGCTAACTCGACCTCCAGCGTGACACTGCCCGGGACCCGAAGCCCCAAAAGCCACAAGCCCTAAACCCGAATCCACGAATCCCCTAAACCCCTAAACCCCTAACCCTACACCCTAATTAACCCCTGAAGCCCGAAACCCCTAAACCCCAAACCCATACACCCGAATTGAACCCTAAAGCTCGAAACCCCGAAACCGCCGAGACCCCGAAACCCCAAAACCCCAAAACCTAAACCCTAAACCCTAAAACCCTAAACCCTAAACAAGCCAGACAAAGCTCGGCAGCCCAAGGCCCCGGAGTGCTGGACGAATCAAAGCTGCGTGCGTCGCTGCGTCGTCGTCCAACGGGGAGGCCCTTAGCAGCCCTTCCTGGGCGTTTTGTTGGTTCAGGGTTTAGGGTTTTAGGGTTTAGGGTTTTAGGGCTTCAGGGTTTTAGGGTTTTGGGTTTAGGTTTGCATTAGGGTTCTACAAAGGGTTCGACAAGGGCGTGGTTATGACTTCTTTGGGGTTTTCTCAGCTGTTTGGCTTGGAGGGTTAATTAAAGGTTCAGGGTGCATCAGGCTTCGTTAAGGGTTCTATATGTCATGGAGGTTTACGGAATTTTTGGAGTGGCATACGTCTTTTCTGACAGTCCTTCTATGGCACGGAAGGCCTAGGTCTTTTGGCTTTTGGAGATTTGAGGTTTAGGGATTTTCCTTTTTAAGGGTTTTCGGGTTTTGAGGCTTTGGGGTGTGTGTGGTAAGGCGCGTAAGGTTTATGGCGGCATTCGCGGCGCAAGGTAGAGTTTGGGGGTTTAGAGTGGGGGGGAAGCAGGTGTGACGCTTTCTTAGCGCTTTAGGTTCGGTGTTTACAGTTTCGGGTTGTGAGGTCGGGTCCCGTGTCTCGAGTCATCTGTTGTACAAGAGGCCTTTTGGAACCTGCAGGTTTGAACCTCAAAGGCACAAAGTGACATCGTGGCTTCGATATAGTACAGAAGACAAGAGCATTCTAAACTGTAGTATAGTATACCCAAAAGCCCGCTTCTAGTTGCTGATCAAAAAGACCCCCTTATTATGTTAGGGCTAGAGGGCCGTCCTGGTGTGCTGTGCCTTCTGAATCTAAGTTGTCTTCACCGCCAGGCTAGGAAACCTCTTTTCAAGTGTTAAGCAACTTTATTTTAAGATGCCATAGTCATAGTCTGTTTCTTAGTATAGTAACTTGAAGGGAGATTTCCTTAACAATAGCCAAGTAAAGCCTAGGCCCACACCACCAGAACCAGAAACAAAAAATCTGTCATCAGGCAGAACTCCAGTGCCCTCAGGCAATGAGCTTCTCGGCAGGCTCAGGAGGAAATGTGGGCTGTTCTAGACTCGGATTCCCTTCAACATGCTTGTTTTGAAACTTGAAAAAGTAACGGATTCGATGACCTTAAACCCTAGACCCTGAACCCTCAACCCTAAATCGGGCTTCGGGCTCTGGGTTTGGGCTTTGGCACCTGTCAGGTTTCTGTGTCCACAGGTTTGCCCGGCTTGGGGTTCAAGGTCTGCGTGCTCTGGGCCCAAAGCCCCAACCCCTCAACCCCTTACCGAAGCACCCCAAAAGTAGGTAAAATAATGGCCCAAGATTTATAAAGGGCTATTTTACCTTGCAATTCACACTTGTTTACAGACTTTTGGGGTCCAGGTAAGCCCTAAACCCTTAATGCCAAGGCTTGGGACCCTGAGCCCCCAAAACAACCCCTATGCCCCCCAAAACCTTCGGTGGCGGCGGACTCTGGTGTGATGTGAGACTTATTCGAAGCCAACCTTGCGGTCCCAATCCTGCCTTCAGGGCCTTTAGGGCTCGGATCTGGCTTGAGAAAGGGCTCTAAATAGCTATCTACGGCTTTCTAGAAATGTTGAAACAGTTCTGCAATTTTAACTTTTAGCAAAGTCCAAAAACCTCTGTAAGCAAACCTAATCCCGATACTTCGGACTCCCAGAGCTTTGCAGCTAGGCTAGATTTTACAGCCTACAGCCTACACCCATGCAGCTTCTAAGGTTTTCTGGCGGAGAAAGCACCAAAAGAGGCCTCCCCACTCCGGGGCTTTGAGCAAACCTATTTTTTTTGCATACCCGGGGCCGTCGGGGTTTAGGGTTTTGTGGGTTTCGGGTTTAGGGGTTTAGGGGTTGCGGGTTTAAGGGTTTACGGTGTGTAGTCCATGGGCTCGGCTTTGGTTTGGGTATGGTTTGATCGTAACCGGCCTTTGCACAGAGCTTCTAAGCTACTGAAAGCGTAGATCGATTGAGAGTCTCGAAGCCTTCCGGCTAAACTCCATCCATGCCTCGGTTGAAGAACCAGGATTGACAGCGGAGTTTCTTGTAGAGTTTCGCGTCTGCGCCAGTCGTTCAAATTAGGTTGTATGGAACACGCAGTTCTGGCAACACTGCTGCCCTTTCTATTGAAGAACACCCGACTCCACGGTGAAAGTACCCTGGCATTTGTACGTCCACACCTGCGCTTGAGACCTGAAGCCTAACCTTCAAGATCCCTGAAGCTTCAGAAACCGAGTGCAGGCTCGCTGTGTATCCTGACAACTCTCGGATGTGCCACTTTGTTTGTGCCGTCTTCGAAGTCCCTAAGCCTTGACTTGGGGCTACGTGGGACCGTAGGAATTTGCAAGAGGCGCCCGAGTTGTATGCAATGGACTGAGCCGAGTTTCAACACCCGGCCTGCTTTGTGTCATCTTGCCCTAAGCCCTAAACTCTAGACCCTAAACCCTAAAAACCCTAAAAACCCTAAACCCTATAAACCCTATAAACCCTATAAACCCTAAAACCTTATAAACCCTATAAACCCTATAAACCCTAAACCGCAGGTATTCGGGGTTGGCATTGGATG